ATGTTCATGTTTTCACAATATTCATTTGATCGAACGCATTTATCAAATCTTTTTATCAAAGTTTCGTCCACATCATCAATCTTGAGCGTTTACTATCATGTTGATGACATTTAATTTATAGCGTTTTTCTGATTCATCGATAACAACTCCAGTATCGGGTTTCTTTCTACGCTTAATCATCAACTCGTTTCATATGTATTAGTTTTTTTTCCAACATGATTGCGTGCAGCATTTCTTGAACACTTGAAAATTAATACTACTCTCTGCGATCATTCCTTATCTCCTCACGGATACAAGTTCTCCAGAAGCGCATGAACCGCTATATCCTCCATATAGCTGATGATTCTGATTTTGACTGAACATGATTTTGATTCAAAGCGTGATCCATTTACGACCATAATTATGTGTGCCATGAAATAATTTTATGTCGACGCTCTTCCTTCGAACACTCTCCTGAATTTACATGATATTAGGCAGAGCACTGATGTAACTGACAAAAGTATATCGATGAATGAATGAATGTCAAGTGCGAGTTTTTCTGACTGAAACGTCGATATGCGGCAAACCCCTTTCCAATCCAAAAGTACCTCGTAGGCACTCATGAGTTCAGTTCCCATGCAACAGGCCTCGTGAACCAACCCTCATTTTATGCCTTCGCGGGCCAGGAAACCGAAATTTTGAGGTCTTCTCCCGATTGATGGAAGCAGAAAAATGCCGTTCAAGGCGCATGATTCAGCATACAATTTGATCAATGAAAAATATTTTCAGATAGATCTCTTTCGGATCCGCGTTCGTTTGAATGCGAATTGTGAGGATCTCGATCGCGAAAACCTAGTTCAAGTGCTATGCGATCATCCGAGTGATTCGGTGACGTTCTATTTACCCACCAAGTAATGCCAAACTTATTTGTTTTTCAACTCTATAAGGCGATAGTTATACGTACCTTTCAACTGATTCGAACAGTCTCCATTATTTTTGCCAATATTCATGAATACCATCTTCTATGAGTCATATTTGATGTCTCAAATATGAGAGTTCTAATGTTCTAACATTCCTTATGTCCTGAATGTTTCTGACAGGCTTAACGACGTGTTATTCCTAATTTTTGTCCCTTATCGTGATGTTAGAGATGTTGTGAAAATTTTGGGATGTTAGTGATATTTCAGTTTAACGAAAAGCTTTCTTGAATTCCTATCCATTGATCATCGGAATCTGCACAATATATCAGTTCTTAATTAAGTACCAAACGATGAATTTCATCGTAGCGCGTCTTTCCACTAAATTAACCTTCTAATTCTTTGTATTCATGAAAATTTGCTGACTCTGTTTCGGTCACCTCTGATCAGCAACTATCCATCTTGATCAGCACATCTTTTTCATTTCTTCATGAACATTGATGAAATAATTCTTATGATTTCATCGGATGAGCTCAGATTCTGAACTGATTAGGGCATAGTGTTGCAGAGATGGTAGTTGTGAAGGTGTCGGTTTACTTGGAGGTGTGATGTCAGATGATCTTGAAGCCAACGGTGATGAACCTGAGAACATTTCCATTACAGTGACGAGTCGAAGCCGTAAGGGATTGAACTATACAGTAATCGCTGGTGTCTATGACCGAGCACAGTATAATATCGAGTTAGTGAAACCGATAGAATTCGCCTAGGGAATCTTTCATTTACCATTAGTTTCTTGGTGTACGTGAAGTAGCAAGACTTTTTCTTAATCTCTTCACCAAATCACTGATGATGATAGTTGATGTGTAATAGCTAGCCTGTTAAGGGTTTGAAGACGTTCAAAAGAGATCACACTGTTTTCGTGAAATGAACTGATTTTAGATTACCGCCGTCGAAGAAGTCTCTGAAGGGTAGACAGTTTGTTGGCATCAGAGCATTCAGTGGGCAGCGATCGTCAGCCGTAGAGCCAATCGCATANTTGCGGCGACGCATGGCAATATTGTTCGTTTGATTCAATTCTGGGCACTCCATTGATACTTCATGTTGTTGTAGATGAGGGTTTTGTCAGACTGGGCCGTTTTCCTGCGCCTTCCCCCTCCCCGCATCCTTTCAATTTCTCTATGGAGAGATAAAAATGAAATTCATTCGGTTTGATTCTGACGAAGGAATAGACGATAAGGAACTATCGTGATGTTTCATCAAAGCCATTGCAAGTGATATTAATTAACTGACAGTGTAGTGGGAGCAGCCCTGAATAGCGAGCGTCTCAACCCTTAATAGCGAGAGCGATTGCTCAGAAGAGATTTCACTATTTTCTGTTCTTCGAATAATCATCGTTCGATGTGATTTTCAGCATCATTTGATTCAGTCGGCTCAAGAAGCCTTGAAGATAGCCTCGTCGCATATAACGTTTACTCGATTCGCCACTCTCGAAGTGCCGTTAAATGCCTTGCCCAACTCATTTTCACTGTTTGTATTCGTATTCGGTGACGATTCAGTTTGTGTTCCGAATGCTGAATGGAGTATGTTGTTGGCGTTGTCTCTTTTCCAGTTGCAACATCATTTCGAAAATTCCTTCTCTGACTGGAAATCGGTTGAATCATCTCATCTGTATTTGACGAATACGAAGTGTGATCTCTAGAAAAGTGTAAATTTTAGTTGTTTTTTCTTTGAAATATGCGGTCATTCAGATCAAGTATCAGTGGGTACGGTCATAATGCTCATTGACTGAATTATTTTCGATTTGTCCCAGTGGAAGTTTTTTTTTGGAAATTTGGAACTTGAGTGTTTGTTGGGATGTGAATTTTGCTGCGATTCCATTGCGTAACGAATGAACGTTCAAGGAGAGTATGCGAAGAACAAGCAGTTCAATATCACATTTTCAACAGAACCTCTTCCATCTGCCGCTTGGCCGATCATATTAAATCTAGTCTTGTACACCTGTGTCCCTGTTATTTGCTATTCAATCTGGAACAGCTCACATAAATCTGACAAACAAAGGTTACTCATCTTCAATCAAGAGCTGATTTTATGAAAGGTCTCATCTCGATCCGCTGGATTTTCAGTTGTTTTCAGTCTGCAATAGATTAGGAAAAGCTCGTGCGCGATTCACTGCACTCTCTGAGAAACGTCTGTCATTTTGCTGAAATTTTCAGACTTCCACGTTTTCGTCACTTACCATCATCATTTCTTGTCATTTTATTTGTTCAGGTGGGTCGTTAGATCGCCCGGTAACGCTGTTGAAATGGCTGCNATCATTTCTTGTCATTTTATTTGTTCAGGTGGGTCGTTAGATCGCCCGGTAACGCTGTTGAAATGGCTGCGATCCCTTCGGAGACTCGACCACTCAGTGGTCCATCAAATGAAGACGTAAGTCGAAAACAATCGTTCGCAGTTATCCATATTCCGTGACTGTTGTTGTATTGTTTGCTCGTCATGAAGTTGGCCTTTATAACGCTCATTAAAAAATCCTTCCTTGTGATTTGTGGAGTGTGGTTATGTTCAACTGCGATCATTATTGTGAGAGACTGTGAGATCGAGCGTGTTTCGAATAGAATATCAAGAAGCTTCGAGATTTTTCGAATGAATGAAATAAATCTAAATGCAATGTTACGTGCGGACTGAAATCGTTGTCCATGAATGCGCGATAGTTATTCTGAGAGATGAATTGTTCAAAAATAATTCGAAAACTTCGTATAATATCGATACTTATATTTGGTTTAGAGAGATGCTATGGCGAATCCGCGAAATTATTTGCCCGTTTCGTGTGCAGAAATGCAGATCCCAGGGAAGGCATTACCGATGCAGAGAAATGTCATTCCAATGTGGTCAAATGAAAGGCCAGTTCAAACGGCGATTTTCTCAAAATTGCCAACGAACATCAGCATCCCTTCACAATCAAATGTATCAGAGCAAGGTGCTTTTATTAGCGCTTATTTTTTTCTCGAAATGTTTCAGTCTCCCATCGTGAAATATTCTCATAACATTTTCATTGATATCTTCACTTGAATTCACTGAATGTGTTTCTTCAATACGATCATAAAACATCGCAGTATTTTTATTGATGCAAAACGCCCTTGATTTGTGCTCACGAAGGAAGAATTTTTCGCGACTGTATAGAGTGAATTGCTATGTGCGCTTAAGAATTGTAAAATCTCAAAAAATAAACACCAAAAACCATTTTTTAAATGTAAAGAGCATCGCGACATGTTCTCAGCGAAAGTCGATGAATCAACTGCATTTGACCGTAGAAAACCGAAATGGTAATGTTTTTTGGATATGGGTTCATGTAGAATCATGAATAATGTATCGTTGTAATTCTCTGATTGTAATGTTGCTCATAATAATGACAAGCGTGATTAATGATCAACTGAATGGTGCTCAAAATGTTGCTATTTANGATGTAATCACGAAACCGATAGCAAACAAGTACCGTGAGGGAAAGTTACGAAGAGCTTTGAAGAAAGAGTTCAAGAGGATGATACTGATCGGCGAAATTTAAACGGATAGAGTTGACGAAACTCGATCGTACTCATCCGATCCGCCTAGTGGTTCGGCGATTGTTGACTTCTTCGATGAGGACAACGCCGTTGCTGGCTGTTAGGTGTTAGATGGGTGTATTTGCGGTGGGTATGCGCGTAATGCATTCACTTGTTTCTAAATATGGCGTCAATCAAAGTTACACTCTGCAGACGATGATGCTGATTTGCGCTCGTTGGAGGAACGAATCCAAATGAAAGCTAAAATTGATTTTGATTTACGATCATTAGAGGAACGTATCCAGCAAGAAACGTGTATAGCAAGGCAATTCGATACGGTTGTTACGATTGCTAACAATAAGCCATATAACGACGCCCTGTTGGCGGCAGCTACATCTCAAACTAAAACCATGGTAACGTCATGTGTACACTTATTGTTAGATGGTAGAGTAGATCGTTGTTTGAGTTATGATCTAGGCCTTCCACGTTCGTCTGGTGAACCCATGGCAGTTATCGAATAAAAAAGTCACTACTGACGATAAAATATGCCAGAATCGAGGACATTTTCAAAAGAAAAATTCATTCTGTCCATCGGAAGCACTCTCAAAATAAACAGGCAACTGATGACTTGTCACGGAGTGGATAATTAGTATTTCAAATATTGCGTACTCTGTTTCGCATAGAACCACTATAAGTGGATTATTGTTTTGATTCATCATGATCGATTGATACAGTTGATCTGATATCCGTATGATTCCTAACATGACTTATTCAGATTTCTGAAATCGGTTTACCGTATTGGATTATTGTGCCAGTTGCTTCACGATTCTTTTACACATTATACGAGGTTTCTACTTCTCTTAGTTTCATTCACATTTCGAGACTAATCAAGGGCGTAGTCTATTCTTTCATCAATTTCTGGAAAGACTTCTTTTGAATCCTCACGCCTTTGCATAGATAAATCGAAAGATCNACTCTGTTTTCGGGAAGATCAAATCAACTTCTTTGCTTCAAATCACTGCTATGTTCACCAGTTGCGAAAATTCCACAAAAATGATGACTAGAATCTCATTTTTCTGAAGTTTTCTTCGGTCTTTTTACATTGACGTTATGAAATTTGCTTGAGAGAATGTCGAATTCATCACTTCAAATTCGATTATATTCTATGACATACTATAGCTATTCTTTAAACAATTATCGACTTTGTAAAGTCTTTTATTGATTAATCATTCAGGAATTGGTGCGGAACGGACGAAACGAAGATGTATGCTTCCACAATTATGAATGCTCCTATTCGGTTGGATCGTTGCGATCATTTAACCACATCATCAGTAATTTCGGTTATCTCACGTTGGGTGCGACATATAGCGCTTTGATTAGGCTATGGTGAATCGGTTTTCGTTCTCGAAACATTCAGAACACTAATAGATGAAAGAAAAAACTGAAATCTATGATACAGATGTAATAAATGAAAACTGTGTTCATTGAATTTGAAATTTTAAAATTGATCAAGTTGAATCAAATCACCATGTTGATCAAATCATCAAGTTGAAAAATTCACTGAATTAAACAGGGGAACATAGGTGATTTGGATGCATTTTCGTTGGAATAAGATTCCTGAAATCATTACTTATGACCAGTGGCATACCCAAGAGATTAGGGGGAGAGGGGAGAATGGGCGCATCCATGTAAAAATTGAAAAAAAANGGAGAAGGAAGAGGGAAACAAGGGAAAAGAGGGGAGGGGAGAAGAAATCGCCTTAAAACTCAAATATTTTCTGGACCAGGACGTTCTACAACCCCTCCCTCTAGTAGCCGTAGAAATAATTCTGGCTTAGCCACTGCTAGTAGCTTTTTGGAATGTTTCAAAAATTGCTTGTTTCAGGCAGAGACACTTCAACGAAAATAATTCTGTTGGAATCTGTCCACCATTTCCGATTCTGTACTCGCTTGGTGCAACACTTGCTGCTGAAGCAGTTGCAAGCTCGTTGTATCATGTTTGTCCCAATTCAAGTTCTTACCATATTGGTCAGTGGTTGTTTCTTGCATTCATTTCAAGCTCATTACTTCGCCTCAAACAGAATACAGAATTTCCTCTCGAATTCAGTTTCTTGAATCGTTCATGTGCAGTGGAATAATTGAGAATGTTTTCCGTGACACTCTCTAAAGTTTTCGGAAACTCGTGCACATTCACCATAAAATTTTGCTATGTTGTGCTTGAGATTGCTTCAAAGATTCGCGATTCCAGATACGGCTTACATTGAAATAATGTGCGTTTTGGTGATGTGTGTTTTATATTCTCAACGTCACGGCCCTATAAGGCCTCGTTTTTCAGTTATTCTGGTGCTCATGGTGTTTTTCAACCAGGTGAATTATCTTTTCTGAGACTATGCGATTCTTCCACGGAACAGCTTATTAACAGTCTATTATATTTTATGCTAATTGTAAGGATTTAGGAACATTCCTGCAATGAAACATTATTTTTGAATTTTGATTTAAGAACTGACGACTTCATTTAGACATTATCTGCTGAATGTTGCGCCAAGTGAATTGGATTGGTTAAGTTGTACATTTATGATCATAACGTAGACGGTTATGCATATGGATTCTATTGCAGTGGTTATGGACAATACGGAGCATTCAGGAAATGCTTGCTGTCCTTCAATTGCTCGGAACATTCATTCTACAATCAAAGATCTTCTTTGGAGATCATTTGGAATTTGGTCCGTTCTAACAGTCGTGATTTACTCAGCCATTTTTTTTNTTTTTTTTCGCAATGTTTGTCGTCTGTTAACCTCTTAAAGCATTTGAATGAAACTATTAGTTTCAAATTGAGAATACTCGCGAGTGTTATCGCCTGTCTGCCAGGGCTTATCCTCGATTCGCGTGAAGTATTTTCGATGAAGTCAATTGCGAAGGGATCGAAAATCAGATGTGCTATTGTGTAATTTTCGATATGCTTCGAAATCACTAATCTTCCATTGCAGATTTTTCACATCCATATGAAACCGCAAAGATGTTTCGCGCCCGATGGCATGTCTTACTGAGCAGTGCGAAAAGTGATTTGCTGAAGAAAAGGTTAACGCATTGATCGTTTGAGAGTTTTTGAAGCTGGAATTGAATCGTTACTTCTCAGCAAGCATTACTCGTGCAATTCTCGTGGCTAAGATCGTCAAACCTTCCAAACGTTCTGACTTTGCACGGGTGATGTTTTTTCGTCCGAATCGTTTCAACTGATTTCGTAAAGCGCCGTGGGATTGTACAGAAGGCAACTGCAAATGTGCTCGTTCAATTGTACAGAAGGCAATTGCATTATCAAGTTCAAATGTTGCTCGCAAATTTATCATTTCCGAAAGGTTTTTCATCCAAAATCCAACAATTTGTTTTGATTCAATTTCAGACTGATTTTGCTATCTGCTTGGTTCATTGTCAATTTCGCTCTTATGGTCTATATATTCATGCAAGCAAGATCTCGAGTCGCATACGTGCCTCTTTACTTTGCTATTGTAAATATGCTTGCCTATTTCACCTACTATTTCTACAATAAGGTTTAAATTTCTCGAAGTTTTCATAGACATTCCTTTTTTCGTTGAACTTCTGGAATTCTTCGAAAAATTCTCATATATTCTGAATTGAACAGTTCCAGTTATGCATTCTATCATTCCAACTGGAAATTCCGGAAGAATGAATTCGTCATGCAGAGATTGATTACGGTAGCTGAAATCTTCGATCTGATTAGAGAGTTGCGATCAGTCAACAAAATTTACATGTATTTCAGATTATGTGCTCAGAGGCAACGCCTGTTCCGGCTGCGTTGTCATGCGCAATTGCCGCTTTGCTCTGGGTTATTTCCGGATATTTGTTCTTGCATTCAGAAACTGATTGGAAGGTGAGCGAGGATTGCAGCATTTGAAATGTTCGAGATTTAATCCGTAATCGATCTTCACATTTATCGTTCCAGTCATTCAGT